CAGAGATCCCACGTGTCGCCCCAGATGGAGCCTCATGCATTAGTCATGCTCTCGGCGCCGAGGACGCAGGCTGCGATGTGACCCCATTCTCTCCATCTTCCTCACCCCGCGCCCGGTGTTTGGAAAGGTGGGAGCTGACATCGGCAAAGCGATCCGGCTCCCGTTTTCGGCGACGCTGGGTCGGTTTGAGAAGTGACGTTCAACGGGGAGGGGATGTTTTTTTTTCCAAGCGTCCCAAGAGTGGCCGCGACTCAAACGGTTGTCAGAGAATTGGAGCCGGTTGGAGGATTGGCATCTTGGGCGTTTGAGAAACAAACACTGGATTTTCGTATTTTACGACAGAGAGGTTATTTTTGGTGGAAGGTCGAGGGGGTGAAGGCAGAGGGGGTTGGGGGGAGGGTGCAGTGACAGGTCGCAGCAGGGTTTCATTTAATTTCAACCGGAGTTGTCCGGGACTGAATTCTGAAAAATATTTCCTGCCCTGCCCCCCAACTCCTACAGGCTGTTGGGGGAAAGGGGCATGCTCTGAAGGGGTGGGGGCACCCTGGGTAGGAGAGTACAGGCCAGAGAGGGGAAGGAGACGACAGCTTGGTGTCCGTGAGAATCAAGATGCCGCTCATGAGACATTTAAAATTGAACCGACTCCACCTCGGAGAGAGCAGCACCTCGTGACAATTTAGGGCCATACATTTAGTGCGTACGCATGGAGGGGGGAGAGTTAACCCAAATGCGTACACTTGGAAACGAGGGGAAGGTGGTGAAGTCTCGATAATAACTTCTCTACATTGGCCTTCAAATGAGCCACAGTCAGTTTCTTCAGCTGTCAGACAAGTACTACCGGGAGAAGTGGGACTGTGGGAGAGGTGTCACTTGTATGCCACCGTACCCCTGACTGCTAGCTATCAGGCAGCTCAGCAGTGATTCTGGCATCGTCTAGCGGCCTACCCCATGGATTACACATCCTTCAATCTGGCCTCACTGCAGACTGCCGCGGTGCTCTGTTCGTGCTGCTGCTGCTGCCCCGACTTCAGTACTAACACTCGTCTGCCCATCCGTCTACTGTTACAGCAGATGTTCAGTCGATGGACTTTATAAAGCGGACATTAGACAAACTTTTTAAAGGTACGCAACTTAATTCTTTAATGCAGCCAGCGGTGGACTATATGTTTGCTTAAACACGTTAATATTATTAATCCTTGATCGTTTCTGCGTGGATTAAATATCGGCCGTTCTATAGGATTGGGGGGGGGGGTGCAGGGGGGGGTGTAAAAAGTCCGCGTGCGTACAGGGAGGGGGAGGGGGGTCAAGTTGACGGATTTTTGCGTACCTACTAAATGGATGGCCCCTTAACGCCGTGCAGTGCGGCCTATTACGCATTGGCTACTGCTGCCCTCACATTCACCTGGTGGCAGCTGACATGCTCAGTTCCCACCTTTAAAATGTGTTTGAAATCCTTTGACATTTCTTGAGGTTAATCGAACCATAATTTCCATTTTACAGGTATATATATATATACCGGATGACCAGAGTAATAACGGCGTCTCCAATGCGTCACAGAAGCCCAATGCATACGAGAGCCGCCCAACCGCCACCGTGTTTCCACGCTCGTGGTCAACTCAAGGTGGCCGCCATTTCTCTGCCTAAGCTCCAATTCTCGAGAACGATTCCGCTCCGTGAGCTTGCCCTGAACTCCTGGCGCGAGGCTTCGGGCCGAGCGGAGAAGCGTCACCGAAACGCGTGGCGACCAAGCGCACGTCGCACGCGGAGGAAACGCATTTTGAGTTTTTGTTACGTTTAACGTAACAATTACCGTCACTGTTTGTCAGCAACAGTCCTGAAAGACCTTTAAATGTTCGTGTAATGGTAACATTTTAACACGAAGGCTTTCGCGACCAATATCGTCCATAACAGGGGTTTTTTGGGGTTAGATCGCGTAAATATAAATGTGTTGTTAAAAACCCGCCACCACCCGACACAGCCAATTAGTAAGGGTTGTCACGTAAACAGAACGTACCAATTCGTTACTCGTACAGCACATCGGTGTGTTGGAGAGAAAATCCACATTTACATGTTGTAAATGTGTTGGAGAGCAAATCCGTACCATGTTGTTTACATGTTGTAAATCTTATGGATTTTCTCTCCAACACAAACACACTGGTGTGCTCTACTAGTGACGAATTGGCACGTTCTGTGCACGTGTATTATAGATGTAATGGTAACGTAGAAAATTATATCTGGGGAAACCGCTGCCAAACTCCAGTGATATCTCGAGTAACGCGAACAATCGTGGAGAGGGTACTTTTAATTTATTTTTTTACAAACTCAAGTTGCCCTTTCACTCGAGTTTCAGGCAGACTTCAAGTGAAGGGAAAAACGAAGAGAAGAAGACGGAGAGAGTAAGATGAACAAGATCCCACTGCCAATCTCAGCTGGAGGACAGCAAACCAACGTTATAGCGAAAGCCAAACATCGGGGGAGGGTGGATCGGTCGCAGACAATCAGTGGCGGAAATTCCACATTCTCACACTGGGGGCCAGTCTCTCCCACAGTGAAGTCAACAGTCTCTCCATCGTCGGCTTCGTAACAAACTACCGCTCGTTTTTCTTTTCGCTGCGAGGGAGAGTTGGCTGAGCCCGTGATCCCTCTCGCGTAAATAAAAGGAGTGCCACGTTTGTGGAATGCCAACAGCGGTTATGCTGCAGAGAAACTTTCCCATCGCCATCCGATGTGGACTTTTTTTTTGCCACGAGCTCAGGGCCATCAGCGTAGATGGCCCACAAGTCCCACGTTCGAGCGAGCAGCACGAACATATCAGCATGACGGGAACGTTCCAACGATTTTACCGCTTGTCGTTGGGAGCGCTGAGACGCATCATATTTTTCTCACGAGATCTGCCAGTTGTACGAAGAAGAAAATCCATTCCCGTGATTATTTTGTGTAATTTATTGCCCGACTGGTAAAACAAATGCAATATCAGAAGAATAAATAGTTTACCATAATGGTAAATGTAAGCATATTATAAATGAGAAATTGGTCTCTAATTGACTTATAATAATTATGATACGGAGGGGAATAGGGCATACAAAATGTCATTTTAACATTTGAAGTCAAATAACACTCTGAATTCCCATGCAAAACATTTCTAATGCTTTAATGCCAACCAATCAATACCATCACCCTATAACCTTTCTACAGTCATTCCGATTCCATTGAGAATGTATTTGTCAATATTCGCTCGTTTCTGCAGGAATATAATCTCGCGCACGCACGCATGCATTCCCCAAACCCGATAGTCGACAGCATTATTATGAAAGCAAAATAAAAAACCGTTCTATCACTCCCAAAGCATGTGCAATACAAACAAAAAAAAGAAAGAGACAAAGGTCTCCCGTATAGCCTTAACATACGGTGGGGGCAAGTGCTGTTAACGAGTGGCACCAATGAAGGCCGGCACGGCACACGAGGGGATGGGTGGCCAGCGCCACGCCCGGCCGCCTTTGTCTCTCGAGTGGCAACGTTGACACACAGTACCAGGTAGTCATTTGAGACTGAGTCGACCTAGGGGAGGCCCAGGACCAGGTTCACATAATCGAGAGCAGCGGTGGCAGTAAGTGCATCGCGCTAACCACCACGCTACCGCTCCTCAAAACAAACAAACACAAACACACGGGCACTGTGCACTGACAAAACACAGACATCGTTTCTATTTGTGCTTTCATCCACTGCGAAAGGACGGATGACTCACGCTGTGACACAGTCGCACCCACGGCTGCCACGACCAAGCCGACGGCGGCATTTGGCGAGATCCCCCACGAAGCATTATCCACTTCACCCGCCACCGCCATCGTCGTCACCATTGTCAGCACGGGCGAGGCGGGCACGAGCGCGTGTACGGTCTCGGCTTTTGGAATGCGGAGTTGGTGAATCACGAGGACATTTTGACGCGAGGAACCCCACCACTCAAGGAGACAGGTCATGAAGCGAGGTTGCTCACCTCATTGTAAAGTGGTATTTTTGTATAATTACTACGCTTGTGTACCCAGGAAAGCCTCACCCGTGACTCATGTTCAGGAGGGTCTTGCCAAGCCCACGCAGCAATTGCTGTGCAGATTCCAATTCAGTAATTTGCAATTGCTGAATTGGAAAATTTGCAATTACTCAATTGCAATTACTGAATTGGAATCTACATAGCAATTTGGACAATGACACTGGCACACAATGGCCTACACTGGCACACAAAGGGGCGCTCCGGTGGCGAGATGTTAGCTCCGTCGCCTGGTACGCAGGAGGTTGCGGGTTCGATTCTAGGCCCCTGACGATGCCTGTTGTAAATTTGGAGTCTCTCCCCGTGGTGGTCACGTTGATTTATTTCCAAGTCCTCCGGTTTTGTCCTCCACATTTAGAAACATGCTTGTAGATTATGTATCTGCCAATATAAATTCACACATGTGATGATGATGATATAAGCCACTTCCATGATCTGTCCCGGTGTGGCCAGGTCGGCTCTAAAAAAATAGGTAAAAGCTCAGTGGGTTTTATCTGGTCAATGAAATGGTTTCGTGTCATTTACTCCCGTGAATGATGTCTCGGGATCTTTAACATCCACCGTGACGCAGACGACGCGTAGTATATTTCACGGTTCATAACACCCGCAGAATTAAATCGGGCGGCAGCTGGGTTCGAATCGTGAGCCTCTGCGACGAGCGGCCACTGCGCTACCAGTGTCCGTGTGGGTTTTCTCTCGGCACTCTGGTTTCCTATGAAAGCTCGCCAGGTTCAAGGCGTGGTACGCTAACCATTATGCCACCGCTCCCCAACTCTCACTTCCAACTTACAGGTATTTTATTACTGGCATTTATTGTTACAATTTGGTTATATGTTCACTTTTAAACTAGAAATGTGGACTATGACACTGACATTTTATTCCACTCCCGGTGCATTTGAATTAAAAAAAACCTCGGCTTTGAGAAACAAATGCTTCCTGAAAAAAAATGTCTTACCCTTTCCATCTGCCCATAGGACTTGGCCTGTGTGAGGTCTGCAAAACAGAGACAGAGAGAAAACAAAAGGTAATTAAATTAATTTCAAAACGGTCAACATGTCCCAGCAGTTGGTTGTCGATTTTGTGGCTCACCTCCCCCCACCCACCAGCATCCTGTAGGTGGCCGAATTGTAAATGTTGCAGTGGGTTTACTCTCCAACACACAACCGGTGTTGCTGTACTAGTAACGAATTGGCACGTTCTGTTTACGTGACAAACCTTACTAGTTGGCCGTGTCGGGTGGTGGCGGGTTTAACGACACATTCATATTTACCCGATTTAAATACTCTTAGGTTTTTTCGGTAAAGTCACGTAGGTAAAAAAAAAATTACTACACATTTTTGGGCCATCTTATTTGACAGGTACTATTCTACTTTACCGAGTGTTAACATCCCCAGCGTTTAACAGTACTCTCTTTTTATGTATTTGGATTGTCAACCAACACTGGGTAAAACAACATGTGCTTTGTCGTTCTCTTATAGCATGTGCACCCTTAGCATGTGCACCTTTAGCATGTGCACCTTTAGCATGTGCACCCTTAGCATGTGCACCTTTAGCATGTGCACCTCTAGCATGTGCACCTTTAGCATGTGCACCTTTAGCATGTGCACCTTTAGCATGTGCACCCTTAGCATGTGCACCTTTAGCATGTGCACCTTTAGCATGTGCACCCTTAGCATGTGCACCTTTAGCATGTGCACCTTTAGCATGTGCACCTTTAGCATGTGCACCTTTAGCATGTGCACCTTTAGCATGTGCACCCTTAGCATGTGCACCTTTAGCATGTGCACCTCTAGCATGTGCACCTTTAGCATGTGCACCCTTAGCATGTGCACCTTTAGCATGTGCACCTTTAGCATGTGCACCTTTAGCATGTGCACCTTTAGCATGTGCACCTTTAGCATGTGCACCTTTAGCATGTGCATTTGTTCTCTTTTAGCCCCCCCCCCCCCCCCCCCCAATACGTCCCATTCATTGGCTACCCGATCTAACCCAAAAAACCCCCTCTATTATGAAGTGGTGTAAGTTCCACGTTCCTCTGAGAGCAAACAATCTGTGCACAGGACAACCACTGTTTACGTTCGGCAAAGTGTTTCTAATTATACCGACCGCGCTGAGGACCAATGGGGCATGGCGACCCTGTCTGGGATTTGAACTCACGACCTTTAAAAAGCGGTGCTCTCTGCTAAAGCCCCTCCGGACAATAGAGCATTAAATTAAACTGATGAATAATAATAATATTATTACTTTCAATAATAACAATGCCTTATTTAATGAACTCTCATTTCCCACAAATGAGGTATAATTAGGATTCGCTCAATGAGCCTCCGCAGGCTCCCAAATTTGAAAGCGCGCGGAAATGAATTCCCTTAAGGGAAAATGATGCACGCAAGTAAATAAACACATTAAAGAAGTTTGTCGCTTTTTTGCGAAAAGCAAAATTTGTGTTTCGTGAAATGCAATCTGTAAGTAAAAGTCTGCCTATGAAACTAAAATTGCCCCCAAGTAGTATGCATTTTATTTTGTTCTATTACAACTGTGCTATCAGTGACTCTTTTTAAGAGCTACTGCATGCCCTTCCCATGTGAGAAAATCGCCTCTGGAAGGTCATCACAGAACAGTACAGATGTATGATAGAAACCAGACATGTCCTACAGATGTGCTTAGAAATGTTAAGTCACTCGTTGTTTATTGTTGAGTTGTTAAGCAGAGACTTAAGATATTTCTTGACGTACCGCGAGGAGGCCGCTCTCCGTTCTTACAGTTACATGCTAATTTCTCACATTAACATCACTAGCCCCGGCCACTTCTTTATGACCCTTGAGCTACACCCATTTCAAACCTTTTAAAACAGTCTGCCTCAGCAGCAGACCATGCTTTCCCACCTGACGATGGACGCTTGTGTTGCGCCCGAAACGTCGTGATTTTATTTTATTTTATACCTACGTGACTTTACCGAAAGAACCAAAGAGTATGGATTCCTGCAGTCACGAAAGCTTCAAATCAAGATTAAATACATAACAGCTATACAATTAAGAATAAGAAGAATTCAAACAAAATCGAAACCTAAAATCGTATCAATGACTCTCATACTGTCTGTGACACATGGCAGTAAAACTGATCTTTGTAATTACAATTGATTAAATTCCGATTATTATATTTTTTTGACAGTAATTTCAGTGAGACCATGAACTTCCGTTTTCAACAAGGCTGCACCGAACCCGGATTCAAACCCAGGTCCTCAGCAGTGCCGGGCCAACGATCTGACCTTCTGAGCCACCCCAAAAACCTGTCCCCAAATCTTCTTGGTTCTTTCGGTAAAGTCACGTAGAAGGGAAGTAATAAAATAATAAAAATAAAACATAATAAAATAATTCTCACGACGTTTCGGCCACAACGCAAGCAGCTGTCTTCAGGTGAAGACCAGGTCTGTCGGGGAGACAGCGTCTGAGACAGCGTCTGACGCTATCTCCCCGACAGACCTGAGGATGGCTGCTTGCATTGTGGCCGAAACGTCGTGAGAATTATTTTATTGTGATTTATTTTTATTATTTTATTACTTCCCTTCTACGTGACTTTACCGAAAGAACCAAGAAGATGAATCCCTGCAGTCACGAAAGCTTTAAATCGAAATCTGTCCCCAAATGTTTTGTTGCTCACACGACTCACAAGGCGGCCCACACTTGGCGTCGCCAGAAGACTGCGAAAATCCATCGCTCGCCGTCTCGCGTAAGCCCTCTATGGCAATTCAATTGGCTGTCCCTCATTAGGCGATGCGTGAATGTAGCAAAGTTGCGCTGCGCTAGGAAGGCGCAGCGGTCATATCGCTCTCGCTGACTTAGCGGTTCAGAGGCGAAAGCTGCACAGCATGCTGGGGGCAGGGGGGGTCACGCTTCAGGTTGGGGACAACGCAAGACAGACAGACAGACACAGACGGATGGACATTTGTTCCAACATACAGAACAGCAGAAACATAAGCAGACTTAGGGACAGGCAGGCAAGCAGTCGAGACACCGGTTCAGGTTTACATAGAATGGCAAGAAGACACATTAACAGACAGGCAGACAGACAGATAGACAGGCAAGCAGGGGAAACAAGCAGACCAGTCTGCAGTTACACAAAGAGACCGTCAGGCAGACAAACAGATGATCATACATAGACAGAGAAAAAGGCAGCAGGCAGAGATACACCCAGGAGCATCACACAACACCGACAATGCATACTTTTTTGCGCATATGTAGCACAAGACAATGGAGCCGTAATAATAGCCACGCGCTCTAGTCCCGATGAAATGTTGATCCACTCGTGGTGCAATATTTGCTGAGCTAATACCACCCATTAACGTGTTACTCATAAAGTCTGACGGGGAGAAAATCGGACGCGACCTTTTCCCCAATAACGGTATAAGATCGTCGGTGCACGTGTACACCGTGTTCAAATGAGGACAGCTGTAACATATTTGCCATGATGGAATACCCTCACATATGCACCTCATAAAATGTAAGTGTGTGTGTGTGCGTTCACTTCACGGTCATGAACACAATTTGCAATTGGTATCTGAAACTGGCCTGGGATTTCGTTAACAGGATTTGTCCTGACAGTCAATAATGATGAACAGGGTACCTCCGTCTTATTAGATTACACGTACATTACGTGTTACACAAGGATATCGCGCACACAACACATGTTGAATGTTTACTCCTGACAGAATTCAGCCGTGCGGTGCTTTGGTTAAAATGCCAAACTCACACTCAGGGGGCAGATGACTCAGTCTAGCATCCATTTGGGGGTCGATCAAATGAGTAGCACTTTATGGGAAGTAATCAGGGGTCAGAGAGACTGACCTCCACCGTAGGAATGTTGAACTTCAACTAATGGCCCAGGGCCAGAGAGATGAGCACCAACTTTAGTCGTACACCTGTCTAAAGTTGCCATTGTGCAAGGTCAACGTTGATCATATTTCACTTATCGCTGAACAAAGAGAAATACGCTCCAGGTGAGAGTGAGTTCTGGCCCCAATGCACGCTTTTCAAGAGTAATAAAACGATGATAATTATATTCCTAATCCTAGCATCAATATTTTAATGGACTCGGTCTGAGGGTGCAGATGAGATAGGATATATATATAGCGATGATGGAGGCTTTGAGAAAATAGCCTACAATTGTGGACGATACCACCTACAGGCGAGACCAAGCACGGCTTGGCGACCTCACCTCGCACCTAAATCCACAAGTTGCAGGTGAAAAACACAGCTCGCGGAGTCGAGCCTCCCCGAGCCGGACTCGGCGAGAGGGCCCAGCGCTCGCGGCGGACCCTTGAACGCGTCAGTCAACCAAGTGATCTCCCGCCAGTGGCAACCTTCCTCTCTCTCGTTTTTGAACGTGAAATTTCCATACATTTTAGTATCGTTGTTAATTAAAAAGTACATTTCGGGGACCTCCCCAAAAGATAATTTTGACCCGCCGCCACCGATGAAACCTCCATGTCGGACGGCCCCCGTAACATCACGGGCACAACCTCCGCATTGCCAGCTGTGGACACGCAGCAGCACGAGCACAAAGCCAGTCACAGTGGCGTGCTGCTTGGCTCTTATTAAAAATAATAAACAAGCCGGAGGTGGCCGGGGATACAAAAAAAAGGTCACGGGGTGGAGCAGGCCACTTGTTAATAGGCGCGGCTGCAACGTGAAATTACCGTCCGCCGTCGCTACCGCCGCTCGTTACTGCCACTCTGAGCCAACTCTTTGTCGCGATCGCCGGCTCCTACAGAGGAGCAACTGCTGCCACCTCTCCGCGGGTTTCCAGGTGTTAAACGGCAGGCTCTGCAATAATGCACAATTGCACATTTCGTGCGTGTTTCATAAAGGGAACAGAATATTGTCATCCGGGTTTTATCACTCGATGGCATCTTTTTGATTCCCCGTTTATTAACCGTACCGACACAGCGCGCACAAATCTCGTTTCATTTTTCTGCTTTTTTTCCCCCAAAATAAGTG